TGCTTTAAATGTAACTTTGATCTGTTATATCTAAACTATTTCAAGAAAGCTTTTAGATATTGATGGTTCCATACCTTAGAGGAACAGAAGTGACTGTGTAAATGCCGGCACCTGGAGAGTCCACTGCAGCTGATTCTGCTAAGCAGCAAACCTGGGGCAGCAGCCTAACCTGTGTGAGACCATCACCAACACCCTGAACACGAGTGTATAAGAGATGATTGCCAGGAGGGGGAGGAAAAAAAGATGCATGAGATCTTTACCTTGGACTACCAAGACCCAACTGCAAATGGGAAACAAGTCCTGCGCATACAGGACTGGAGAAGATAAGAACAGGAAGGGTCAACAAGTGACATGATAAAGAGACCATGAGATTTAGGATGTTCTGAGATCTGAACTGCAAGAGAGACAAAATGATCACAGGACCACGTGAAGGGAGCAAAAAAAGAAGAGGAAATGACAACGGTAGTAGCAGCACAGAGTCCTTGGCAAATGGAAATAACTACTAAGACAGCTCTTTGACATTGCAAAGAAACATTAACCAGCTCCACAGAATAGCCTTTCTCCAGCTTCTCCCTCAGTGGTGGGTTTCTTCAAAGGAAGACTGATTGGATTAGAAGGCAGGAGGAGCTCTGAAGAGATGGAAAACTTCAAGGTAACATCAGAGAAGGGGCTTCCTGTTTCATTTGGAAAAGTCTAGACCTACCTGCAGCTGTGGGGACTGACAGATGGGAGCAGAAACCTTCATACTAGAGACAACTGCTGGAATGGGGCTTGAGGCAGGAACCGTTGGTCTAATAAGGACTTAAAACTGAAGTCAGGAGTCTCCTACAATGTAAACTGAACTGGACTACTCTTTTAATCAACCAGACTGGATTTGCACTTGGCAATCTCCAGGAAAGCAAACCCGAGATGATTGCAAGTGACAGTGAATCCCATTAGAATTATGACAAAGATCCTGGAAATCCCCCCCTCTCTTGTGCTACATTTATTTCTAAGCTATTATAAGAACAACTGGTGTCTTGTGAATATTCCAGGTTTTGGAGCTTGCTCCAGACCTTAGGGAAGAAGATCTTTTGCAGTTAAATAACCTAATTTGAAAGGTTTTAAACTACTTTTGAAGTAGTATGATCTATCACTGAGGAAAAAAAGTTACGAAGAAAAGGTTATGTTGAAGTTGCTTTGTGTGTCATTTGTTGACATGTACTTTCAAATTGACTGACACGCATATGGTGTGTGGATCATATTCTGTTTATGCAATGTGCATGAATCTGAATGAATAAAAAACTAGTTCTACCTCAATAAATTTATACTGTCTTCAAACATAAAAAGCTTTGATAGCTATTTTCTGTCTCTGGATGCAAGTACAAACTTCAGACTACATTGTGAAGTTCTAAATAGTATGCTCAAAAAAATGCTTTAAAACACAGTAAATTGCTGCTAGACTAACTTATGCTTTTAAGGGCAGGTTTGATTATGTGCTGGTGAACTTCAAGGAGTATCATAGCGAAATCAGGCAGCCACTAGGACACACCTGAAGGATAAACATATCCTAAAACACCCTTGGCTGCTTCTTAATAAATGTAATCAGACCACTGAGCTGGAACCTCAAGGAACTCCAACTCCTTCTTCCTTACCAACCCTACAACAACATTTAGACACCTCTGCTAGGCAAACGTGCCCAGCTGTTCCAGGGCCCAGGGTTATAGGGTTTAGATGAAGTTTGTTTTATAATAACCCTATAACATCACAGGCTTCTTCTGCAAAACAATGGCCTATGAAGAAATCTTATTCCTTCTGTGTTATCACAGTAATAAGGATCTTAAACTTGCATATCTTTTTCTTTCAGGTCGTGGCCAAAGTATTTTGCAAACAACAGAGTACATCTGCTTCCCCTACCAAAGGAAAGCAGCACGCCCTAGGATGAATTGCAACAACCGTTTATAATAGCAGAGACCAGAACAGAGCAATGTAGGACAGGAAACGAAGGACTGCAGCGTAACTCGCAGAGACATTTTTAGGTTGATGGTGTAATTATCCAGGGTGGAATCCTGCCAGGAAATCATCCTGGAATTCTGTTGCAAAACACAACCTCAGATCGTTAATCCAGCTCTTCATGTCATCAAGCTAAATGAATCATTCCACATTTCACCAGGGCTGGTCTGGTTTGTGTGGCTCGTGTGTGCTAATAGCGGCATTCGGTGTCTTCCTGCCCTCTTAATCACAGCCTCATCTCTAACAGACCCCAAAAAGCTGTTCCACTTCCCTCACAGACCATTTTCCAATTTGCAATGTTGATAAAAGATGAATTCTGCCTCATTCTGCATAATGCTCTTTAGGATCTTTGCTCCTCTATTTCCTGCATCTTTAAAAGAAAAAAAAAATCACATGTACTAAATAATAATAGTAATAATAAAAATGTTGAAAGGTTAGTTATCAATTAAAAATTCAGGAATTTAGTTAAGAAGAAAACCACAATCCTCCACTGCATTCCTCTCAGATGCCGCCAGCTTTACAAAGTGCAAATCTACAACAAAACCAACGTTAACTAATAGGAAATACTAATGACAAAGAAGCAAAATAAGTTGCTCCAATACCATGCTAATGAGTGCGGTATCTGTGAACAGACTAGGCAGCCAGCCACAGATTTTGTTGATGATTCAAAAGCTATAGAAGTTTCCTGGATAAATTTGAGTCAAATCGAGTCTGCATCAAAGCCCCGAAGAAGATGTGCCAACAGATTGAGAAGGAACAAGGCACTCGTGTCAGCACCAATGCTGAACTCAAGTTTATGCTGGTTTGTGCTGATGGACAAAAGTCCATCCACGTAGGGTAAGAATCACCCAATACACAAGGAGACAGGTGGAAAAATAGCCTATGGACAGGACTGCAGCACTCACTGCCCAGGAGTTATTTATACAGGATTTTTTCCCTGCCTGGTCATGCCATCTGATGATCATTTGAGCGCAATTCTTAAGGACTGAAGTACCTCTTTGCAGACCACCATATGAGCGTTGGGAGGCCCGAGGCATTGAAATTCAGCAAGAATTGTACATCAAATTCCTCCAGGTTCCCTGTGAAAGCTCAGCTGCTGTTCTGCCAGTCTGGCTCTAAAACCCAGGAATGATGATGCCAGCAGATGGTCTCTTCAGATTATAGGATTTACAATAGAAACACCTGAAAGGCACTTAATTGTGCTGCAATAAAGAGACCTATAACCAAATTTAATAAAACGGAAGAGTTTTGTTATGGACATTTATTAAAAAAAGATATTTTTCCCTACTACACATGAAAAACTTAAAGCATCTGGCATGTATTACCCTTTTGAGGGAAAATTATCAGTTGGCTGAAAGCATATCCTCTATAATATCACCTTAGAATCATACAACACTAAAGGTTGGAAGGGACCTCTAGAGGTCATCTAGTCCAACCCCCCTGCACACGCAGGGACACCTAGAGCACGTGGCACAGGACTGCGTCCAAGCGGGTTTTGAAGATTTCCAGAGAAGGAGACTCCACAACCTCTCTGGGCAGCCTGTTCCAGTGCTCTGTCACCCTCACTGTTAAGAAATTTTTCCTTAAGTTCCTGTGGAACTTTTGGTGCTTCAGCTTCTGGCCGTTTCCTCTAGTTCTGTCGGTGGCCACCAGTGAAAAGAGGCCAGCACCATCCTCCTCACTGCCTCCCTTGAGGTACTTATAGACACTGATCAGGTCCCCTCTCAGCCTTCTCTTCTCCAGGCTGAACAGGCCCAGCTCCCTCAGCCTCTCCTCATAGGGCAGATGTTCCAGGCCCCTGATCATCCTCGTAGCCCTGAGCTGGACTCTCTCCAGTAGATCCACATCCCTCTTGTACTGTGGAGCCCAGAACTGGACACAATACATTGGTGGCAATGAGCCACCACAGAGAGGATCTCAAACCAGATTCAGATTTACCTGTTTGCTTTCAGCATAAGCATTACAAATTCTTCAGGCTCTGGTAAAAACAGCATCTTGCATTGGCCTTGTTGAACTGCATGAGGTTTTTCACCGCCCAGTTGTCCAATCTGTCCAGGTCCCTTTGGATGGCAGCGCAGCCCTCTGGGGTATCAGCTACTCCTCCCAGTTTGGTGTCATATCAGCAAACTTGCTGAGGGAGCACTCTGTGCCTTCATCCAGGTCATTGATGAATAAATTGAACAGGACTAGACCGAGGACTGACCCCTGAGGGACACTGCTAGCTACAGGCCTCCAACTAGACTCTGCACTGCTGATCACCACTCTCTGGGCCCTGCCATCCAGCCAGTTCCTAACCCACCTCACTGTGCACTCATCTATCCCATACTCGTCAAATATATTTTTAAACCAATATTATATCTGTCATTAAAAAAGTGTTATTTTCTTAAGCCCAAGTCCCATACCCAAGTAGGCAGCATTTTTTTTGACACAGTGCATATCTTGAAGCTTCCATTTTAACCTAGACAGTAGGCAAACTAATGTTAATATTTATATTATGATCACAAACATAGCAATATTGAAAGCAGGTTTTTACTATCATCCACATAATAACAGAATATGGTAATACTGCATGTATTTTAGTATGTACTTGAAACTACTGGAATAGTTATATAAATAGTGGAAATCACTCTATACTGTTGTATTATCTGGCTGATATTTTTAATATCTGCGCAATATTGAAAGCAGGTTTTTACTATCATCCACATAATAACAGAATATGGTAATACTGCATGTATTTTAGTATGTACTTGAAACTACTGGAATAGTTATATAAATAGTGGAAATCACTCTATACTGTTGTATTATCTGGCTGATATTTTTAATATCTGCTGTAGTGTATATAATAAAAATACAGTATCATAAAAGACAAAGCTGGTTCCATCACATGGTCAGAGCAGCAGACACTCTTTTTTGGAAGAGATCCATAGAGGATCAAACCCAAGAGCTACACAGTTCAGCCGGTCCTTGAAACCCAAGAGCTACACAGTTCAGAAGGTCCTTGCACGTACCTTGCTTGCGCACATCCTCTACTGCAGCAACCAACTCCTCCTTCAGATCCTGGCTCTCCTTCGCAATTTGGTCACCTTTTTCCAGGAAGTTTTGGGTGGCCTGCTCTACGGAAGCAGCCAACACATGAGCCTTCTTGGAGCGCCCTTTCTTTTTGCCGGATGGTCCTTTATTGCTTGTGTTAACCAGGGTCGTTACCTTTGGGAAAGGAGAAAAGAAGTCTGAACAGTCCCTCAGCTCCCACTCAGCACAACAGATGTTTCATGGTGCCAGTATTTTCTTTACCCTTAAAGTAATGCAATCATCAGAGGTATCGACTACGCAAAAGTTAAAACAAATTTAAAAACTGAACCATGGAAACGCGTAACTTTAAATCAATGAATAAATACTGATTAGAAAGAAAAGTTTTCCTTTTTCATCTCCATTTAACCTGGGCTAAGCAAACCCATAGTCAAGAAGGGAGAAAAAGCAGCAGGTATGGAAGGTGCTGGCAGTAAAGCATTGTTTTTGTCACGGTACAGTAAAATGAATAAACCAACAAAATGAAACCTAACCCAGAAGGGTCAGTAACCACTCCAAAAGCTATCCTCTCCAGAGATAAGTGCTGTCATTTATATGTAAGCAGTGACCAAAATCATCCTAGGAACAAGTAGCTCCTGCTGCACAAATTTCATAGGTCAAAACTATTCAGTTTTCTAATGCCTCAGCATATACAAAATGCTGTGGTGACACAACAACCTCACATTGAAATGATCCCACTTTCTTCCCACTGTTTTTGGAATCTCTTAAAATAATTCATCATTAAATCATTGATTTAGCCAAAATATAAACCAGGGCAGTTGAGGACACCTCATGAACGTGCTAGCCCAGAAAGTTGCTGCAAGGAAATCAAAATCTTTGCAACAAACACAGTGTACTACAAGGCATTATATTGTAAGAGGAAGTTTAAAAATATATTTCAATTCCAAGAAAGGTAACAAGGTGTTTGATGGCATTGGGCCTACCAAAGGACCTTTTGTTATGTTCTTCATCATAGATTTTATAGGCAGGAAGGAAAAAAAAAAAAAAAAAGGGCAGAAAAAAAAAACAATGGAAGTGTATAGCAGACTATCAAGACTTGAAAACATCAGAAGCATCAAGGTACTGGAAGACACACATGCCAGAGTGTTTTTTTTTCCACGAAGAATGTGGAAATGGGAGTCCTATTTTTCAGGAAGCCTAGTTACAACAAGGTAATATTCTGCTATCATCTCTTTTTTCAGTCTGTAGGTACAGAAATACTGCTTTTTTTAATAGGTTTTCCACTACATCATCCTTTATAAAAGTTCCCAAACATCTCTCTGCAGCTGATCCTTGTCTACATAATGAAGTTCAGGATTCTCCGATCAAACACACTGCTCGGGTTGCTTTGCAATTCAGCTCCCGCTTATCAGAAGAACACATTGGTTGAGCCCCTCAGGAGGACGACTGCAAAAAACAGGCAGTAAAACTGATTAATCAGGCACTGAAATTAGGAAACCTGCAGATGAAGAGAATAATGCTTCATCTTAATTATTTAAACTGATTGAACAAGCTAGACCTACACTGCCAGATTAGCTAAATAATATTTTTGTGCTGGTAGCAGAATTGCTAAGGTGTTGAGAAGACCTCAGGATTAGGGAATCCAGATGGATTCCAGATTTCTTTAGTTCAATTTTTTTTCCCCCCATTAAAACCATTCAAACTGAATGTTATTGGATCCTGCCACCTGTGAGCCTGTTCTATTGAGGATTTCCCTATCAGGGATAGATGGGATTCATCTCACCCCATTTTATTGATAAAAAGTTACATGTCTCTTCTAAGATCACCCTAAAGTATTGATCTGATGCACTCAATGAGGAGGGATATGGAGCAGAGCTGCTATAAAGTCAAATGAATTTGTGCCTACAGGTGGATACTTGTCATTGATTTGTAAGGGAAGCTACACAACCTCATTATTATTATTATCTATATTATAATAAGTATGCTTAGAGCAAATTTTTGTTTCAACTGTAAATACTATGCTTTTTGGCAAAACAGTATCCATTGCTGTCACCTGCAGAAGTGTAAACAATTCCATATACAGCTTAAACCACTAATTAAAAAGGTGCAGCTGAACTTCCCAAAATATGCAAAAAAAAATGAAGAGTGAAATAAAGTATGCCATAAAACTTCAGTGACTTCAGAAATACAGATACATCCCCAAAAGGCTCCTGTGCATCTTCCAGGGGTTCCTCACTGGGAAGATTTTAATAATCTCCTTGAATGCCAGGCTGAGACAAATGGCAGCAACCAGGCCCAGCAGCTCCAGTGCGGTGAGGATTTATTGCTCCCGAGATAATTATGCTGTAGATTAGGTACCCGTGCACGTCCTCCCGATGAAAGGGGAGCAGCGTCAGTGCAAAACCCTCGTTATCGCACTCGGGGTTGCTGCTCGTCCCGCAGCAGCCCAAGGCCCAGGAAATCATGGCCTATCACCCAAGCCGGAGCCTTTCGCCTCCATTTATACAGCATTTATACAGCAGACACGTAAGAAGCTGCAACTGGAAATAAATTGCCTTTTTCAAAAGGAAGGGCTGGTGTTGATCCCAGTAGATCTCAGTTTCCTTCTAAACCTTCTGCTAAGTTTCAGTCAAATTCAGAGATTTTTTTTTTCATTTTTACCTTTTTTTTTCCCCTACTATTTAAAAAAAATAAAATAAAAAAAGTTTTCAGCATATCCAGAGCTCTGGGTCAAATATAATCATGAAATTCTACAAGCTACGGCCTATCAAGACAGCACAGGGCATTCACAAAAGCTGATACTGGCTTATTGTTCGAAAACAAAGCAGCAATAATCTGCAAATCTGAAGCAAAAACTCAGACATTTTAAATGGCTGCAAACCTGGAAGATGTGAATACCAACTCCTGACTGCAATCTCAACACATTCAGATGCTGATTTGTTGTTTGTTTGGGGTTTATTTTGCTTGGAAGGCAGTGCTGATGGCCCAGGAAACAAAGGTTACATCCTTCACACGCTCTCCTCTGGTTTTAACCTGAGCTGCAGAGGAGATTCACGTGTATTTAAACACCACTGAATAGAGTAATAAAAAGAAACTAAATGAGCAATCTTAGTTACTATTCTGGATACATTTTCCATTGCATATATATTTTCATTTAGTTCTGCAGCCTGAGAATACCAGAACAATCAGGCTAACTGGGAATCAGTGCTTGGGTTTGGCAATATTCACAGGCATGTATGAAACTTTGTTAGCCTCCTTTTCTGTTTCTGAACAGTTAAAAACGAATTAAAAGCAAAAGGGAAGTGCTCCTGAGAGCTACTGTTGAGAGAATCCTTCTCAATAATTAAAATTACTGATGACAAGACAACCTTCTCTTTCTCCCAAGTTCTGAATTAGGAAGAGGAAGAAGTTAAAAAGCCCACTCAGAAGATTGAACCTGCTATCTTGTAAAAGAATAATAATTTAAAAAATAAAATTAAAAAAAAAAGGAAAGAGAAGACAAAAAACACAGCTCAGGCTTGTCCTTTAAATCTAACTTATTTTGAATGTGACATCTCACCAATGCTGGTACAAAGCAAAGAACATGCATATCAGCTTCTGTTGCTAATTAATGCAAATCTCAACCCAAGTTTTGCACAGTTATCAAACCTACCACTTTATAATTACCACGAGCTCAATTGGCAGCCCCGGAGTGACTCCGGCTCTATGATCACGCCAGGGAACTTTGCTCTGCTCCTTTATTAACACAGCCTCACACAGCCCTAGCACAGCTCGCTGCTGGAAAACCCAAATTTCCCTGATTAAAAGTTCAAGTCCTCCCCGAATGAAGTCATCCTTGCACAGCTCCCCCAGCCCAGAAGAAAGGTGAGAGGGCTTTCATAACAAGCAGGAAAAAATCATCTATTAGCCTGGACGTCCCCGTTGCAGAGGCCGGGCCAAGAGGGGATCACCCACACGTCCAATTAATCCACACTCGGCAGCCACAGCTCAGAGAAAAACACTCCTGACCCCGAATTAAACCATCCTCCCTACAGACTGCCAAAGGCCCCGGCCACAAATGCCTGCAGAACTGTAATCCCTTTATTTTATTCTATTTTCCTCCATGCCTGCCTGAATACGATAGAAAACCTTGAGTAACCTATCACTGTGCTGCACAGGATGCTTTAATCAGCATTTTGGTAGAGGGGAAGTACCGACATGCACATTTGCAGAATGTTACTGATTCCTGTGGTTCGTCACTGCTCATATGTCTAGTACTAATACTTATTACTTTTAAATAGCAATGATTTGATGGCTGCTGTTTTTTTTTTTTTTTCCTAAATCTGTTTGCTTGTTTAGTAAATCAAAGATGCATCAAATACAGCTATGCAAACATTTGCTTTCAAAAAATGATTTCTATAAGTACGCAGTGTTTATTTTGAGAGCAGTTTTTTAAAGTTGTATTTTTGAGATGAATGGCAATAGATAGCAGCACCACAAATGTAGTGCTAATCAACAAATGCATGAGAATAATTTTGTGATATGCATGCAATCAAATTAGCTTTAAAAGGTTTTCTCTAAAAGATAATTAATTGTTTGCAGAAAGTGTCACCCCTTGCCCTTATGTCCCCCTCATTTTCAAGGCGGTATCACATGCTCTTCCCGGTGGCATTTCAAGAACGCGAACAGCTACAGGGCGCTCCTCGCTTCCCATGGCCTCACATATCACCGAGCTGCTGGAAACACTCCATGACCCGCAGAGACAGCCCTGACATTTTCACATGAGGCCCTTTTTCCTTCCAGATCCCCGGCTGCTTCCACTCCGGCGCTCCGGCCCCTGCCCGGCTGCGCGGGAAGCGCAGGCTCCAGTCCAGGCTTGACCTCGGTGCTCCCTGACCCTCCTCGCTCCCACCGTCCCGTGGCACAGGGAAACCCCGGGGCCTTGCCACCTTCCTGACTCCGCGCGTTGCCAAGTCATTTCACTTGTGGCTCTCGGCAGCAGCCCGGGATATAATCCTAATCTAACGACAAGATATCATCTAGCAGATTAACATGAAAAATACTTTCAACAAATGACACCAGCTTCATTCAGGCGCAAAACAAAAAGCAGCTTAATGGATTTTTCCATGGCTATGCTTATTTTCTTGTACTATTGAAGTTTCCCTAAACTCTACCAACACACAAACGATCTGTTGAAC